CCTCTCAGCTTCACATGTCGACAGACTTTTCAATATGTACAGAGCATGTGGTTATGATCCCTGTTACTGAAGTTACTGGGACACAGACTGGACTGCTAAGAGTAATTAATAACCCATGCCCAACAATGTTGTACCAGAAGAACACATCTTCCAACGCATCCTGTAAACTGAGGATCCTGCCTGTTCTGAGGAGTCATTCTGCATGTCAACATCCATCTTAAAAATAGATGTAAACTGAACATCAATAGGGGACTGTACAAACCTGTTAGAGACCGCTTCGTCTGTGTAATGTGCTTTGCATTGCTTTGAAAGCAAACACATAGCATAACTCTAAGGTTTTGTGGAGAATGTCAGACCCTAAGTCAGATTTAGGAATCTAGGGGTCTAAGAACTGAGGAACTGATGGGGATTTTTTCACCAATGCATAAAGCACCCAAACAGCAGGGTTGCTCTAAATGGCTGAGATTCAGTATCATGAAGGCAGTATAGTATAATGACTGAAGAATAACCACAGTATCTTATATTGTCAAAATACAGTTTCTTTTGCAGATGACAGCAAATAATTTTCTAATTTAGTAGTGCAATAGTCATTTTATCTACCTTTTCTCCAATACAAGCCTAACTATTATTTTATTATATCACTAAATGTACAAACTAATAAATTCCCATGTAGAAAAGTCAAAGGCACATACAATTATTTTAACATTTTCATTGTACTGCGTATATTACATCAATGGTAATCTTCCAGCACTTCAATACAATTTTAGTTAATCAGTTCTGTGAAATTGTATGAAAAAGGATACACAGAAGTATTATTAATCATGGTATAATCTAAATGAGAAGCAACTGAGTTACGAATTGCCAATATGACTCAGTAGAGCATTATATTATTACAAAAGATAATTATCTCCTTTTACTTTTGAGCAGAAAAGCTCAATGAATTTGTCTGTTAAATGTGGAAAGAAATTGTGTTTTTGGAATCCCTGCCTTAGTGTGCTGTTCATAAATTCTTTACTAGGTGATGGCGCCAAAAGAGAATCTGTAGTCTTACAAATATAACTCCCAGTTGTGGCTGAACTGCAATGTTTACCAACTAATCTCAAACCATTACTGTCATGAAAACATACATCTGAACTTTTGTTGCCAAATTTGAAACCACATTTTTTTTTTCTTCTCCTTGTGAACAAAATACCCCCGTCAGGAAGGAGAGCTACAAAACAAAACCGCACTGGTTTGCTGGGATTACCTTTCCTGATTATTCAGCCTTGCAAACATCTTTTCAATGAGCTCGGAGGATTTTAGGAAATGCTGCGTTACAATCAAAACCCTAAAAAAAAAAACACAACATTAGGCACTCGCTAAAAAGAAAATTCCACATTGTTAAGATTGTGTTATGGTTCTCCGAAATTCATTTCTTAGGAAATACATTCAATCTGTATATATTAGTATACATTTATACTACACAAAACACAATACAGGGCTTGTAATGGTAAAGAACTCTGCAACAGAAGAATGACTCCTTTGGTCCAAGCATTTCCAGTCTAAGAAACAGAGAAGACCAAAATCACAAATTAGATTGAAAACAGGTCTGAAAGTGATGCCTACAGTAAAGAAGGCATACAGTATATGAGACAGACAATGTGCATAGAAGAGACTTAATCTGTTTTTGTGGATTGCCTTGAATGCTAGTCTGACTCAACCAAAGTTGCCCCGTCTCTCCCTAAAATAAGCACAATTTCAACTGCGCAATGTCAGGACTCCTAACCAAATTTGAGCTGCTTCTCATTGTATTTCTCAAATAGACGTACAGTAAAGAAGCCATATATGCGAGACACTCAATATGCTTGAATGATAATTGATCTGGCTTTGTGGATTTTGCCTTGATTGTTTGTCATGCTCAACCTAATACCCCCCACAGCAAGCACAATGTTGGGACTCCCATCCAAATCAAAACGACTTCTCATTTTTCTTTTTAAAATTTAACCAGGATGAGCTTTTCGCATGTTAGATTTCTGATGTTCATATTACATCTGAAAGTTTAAATCATGGCTTACATTTACCAGGCACCATGGAAAATGATTTGTTGCTCAAAGCAGTAGGCATGGTAATGAAAGCCAGAAAATGCAAAGGACATGTTAACGTTGCTCAGCGTTGGACTGGAACGGGAGTTCTTGATTAATCTGAGAACAGAATCAGCAACTGGGGCAGTCAAGAGCTGCAGAATTGTTTCTTACGATGATTTTTAAAACAATGTAAAGAATTTAGCAGGAGCAACTAACAACAGAAAGGTTATAAATAATAAGAGACTATGCAGTCTATTTTGCCCGTGTGAGAGTACATAACTGATCCAAGGATCTCAAAAGAACCCAAGGTATCAGCTTCAACAACATGGCTGGAAAGCGTGTTCTGTACTCCTGCAATTCTTCAATTAAATTGCCCCCTGTGCATGGCTTTCAATACAACAACCTTCAGTTATTTCTAGACTGACACAGCTGAAGGTTCTGAATTATGTCATAAGTATTACAAGCACATGTGAGCACTAGAACAGTCACTGCAAGTAGACTTCCGCAATAACAGGACTATGAAAAACGAATAGTAAAGTAAAAAAAAAAAGTGTTATTTGTCCACTCAGGTTCCCTTGATCTAATATTAGATTTTGGTTGAAGACCTGAAAACAATCAGTGTCAAAAATATGCAATAATAGAGGAAATCAGGAAGGGGGCAAATACTTTTTGACGGCACTGTATGTCCAGGACATCCAGTCCTAAAATCTCACAGTAAACACACAGTTAAACATGTGTAACATTTTTAAGTGTAAATGAGAAGCATCTTCTCTTATCCAAAGACAATTTAATGATGTACTTTTGGCATATTACCAATTCGAATATAGGAACATGTTAAAGGGTTTCAGCTTAGTACATTTGATAAAAGTGTGGACCTTAAGAAAAAATTTCATTTGAATTGTGCACAGCCCTTGTTGTTATTAGTAAGTGCTCCTTTTATCTAGCAAATATTGAAAACTGGGACAGATTCGCAAGGGGAAACAGATGAAATTAGTTATGACTAGGATAACATCAGGTTTAAAAAGTAATTCAGCACAGACAATACTGTTAACATTTTTTTTTGAGGTACAGTAAGTTGCAGGTGACTTACCAGAAAAATGGCTTTGTATAAGTTTGGAATTTACATGTAATTTGATCAGTCAGAGTTAAAACAAACAAATATGATGCAAGAAGTTGCACAACTGAAGTAATGCCTTCAATTGCCTTATGAAATAGTCAATTTCTCTTCATATAAATCATGAATAATACAAGCAGGATACATTTAATGTGTTTTATGCATCTAAGACAGCTGGAAACCATGCAGAAGAACAGAAGGAGTTTCGCTATTTGTTGATCTGAAAGTGCTTTGCTCGTTTAAATAACATGCAACAATGCTAAAATATAGCAAATGTTATTAAAGCCTGCTTGGGATTTTCTCCGATGCTCTGTAGACTTTCAAACAGAGTGGTGGTTGACATCAATGTCAGTTCAACTTTGGCTGGTTTAATCGAGCTCAGAAAGTACGTGACAGTCTGGAGAGACAGCATGTTTGTGCATCTTGTTGAGCCTTATGATCACTGCTGCGATCAAACATTCAACAAGGTAAGAAATACCATGGTATCATCATTCCAGATACTGTCATTTGTTTTATAAGGAATTTATTTATAAAAGAAGAATGACAATATGGGATTAACTAAAGCCAATTCAAAATTTAAAAGGCCCTATTCCCACAACTCACAAATATCTAAAAAACTATGAGAAGTTCCCAATATCCTAACCACCCCTACCTTGGTCTTTCTGAACAATATAGTGTAAAAACTATACATATATATATGAAATTATATTACAACTAGATAATGTATACCTGTGTAACAGCTTTAATCGACATCAGCGGCTTGTGTATAAAAAACTACATCTGTGTGATCAAAATGAAAAGATGCTTTTAAGGGTGAATTATTGGGTCTTCACTGGGATTTTAATTTGACAGTCATGTACAACCAACTCAAGTTACACTTCAAAATGTTGATAGCAGACTTTGTATAAACCTAATCACACAGACTTATTTCCCAGGGCAGATCTGTCTGGTCAGTTTTGTGCGGAGCAAGGTATGTATGGAAGCAAATCAAATTTTAAATATTTAAGCAAAAGCACAACTTTTGCTGAAGTTGGGCAGTGCAGTGGCTCTGTGGCCCAGGATCCACGGCCGACAGAGGAATCCTACTCTGTTGGGCCCCTGAGAAAGGCCCCTTAACCCCAACTGCTCCAGGGGCGCCGTATAAATGGCTGACCCTGCGCTCTGACCCCCAGCTTCTCTCCCTGTCTGTGTGTCTCATGGAGAGTAAGTTAGGGTCTGCGAAAAGACAAATTCCTAATGGAAGAAACTGTATGTGGCCAATAAAGAGATCTTAAAAAAATATATCTTAACTTTGTGCTCTGCAGAGCACCAAATCCTCCAGAGCGTCCTGGCGCTGTCTAGGGTTGAGCACTTCTTCAGCTTGGAATAAATGTGAAGATAAACCTACGGCCAGTCCAGCTCTGGCTGTTTCCTACAGAGGCTGATGACCTTCATGGCGACATCTTGGTGCTCCTCGCCTAGGACCAGGTCCGTCACTTTCTCAGCATCCAGGCAGGTGTGAAGTACCATGGAACAATAGGTCACAGTCTTCTCGTCACTGTGGTCAAGGAAAGTCCTGCACGACAACGGGCAAAAACTGGAAATGAGTAACACTGGGTCCAAGGAGGGCAGTCAAAGCTCCAAAGCTCAAACAAAGAGCGAGGTTTCTCAGTGGCACACCCGAAATGACAACAAAGCGGCCCTTTCCACACTCATCTGTCAAACGTCATACATTTTTAAATAGTCCTTCGGTAAAGGTCACCATGTGCTTATGTCCTTAAGCACTGCAAAAATGGCACACCCTAAAATGAGGAGCAACCGGTGTCTCCAGCAGATTCTACATAGGTTAATTTATAGCCGTTCTTTGGCTCTGGCCCACTTGGTTGAGGGAGGACAGTCTAGCCAAGAGGATGATGGTCAGAAACCCTGGAAGAGGTCAGCCAAGGGGGAATTGCAAAAACAGTGATTAAGAAGACAGATGGATGCACAGTAGCACATGCTGGGGAAAAGGATGGGATGGCTATTTTCCTATTTGGTTAGTGGAAGTCGTCTCCGGCTGTAGACGAACTCCAGAGTGGTGCGCGTTTATGCAGCTGGTGAGGTCTGGTGAAGAAATGAAGGGGAAAAAATGGAGAGGGGGGACAGTGTTGACATGGAGTTAGATGGAAAAATTAATGGAAACTGCTTTTGGTCCATGTTTTCCTCCTCTGCCAAATAGTATCTGATCCACTCTGTACAGTACAAGCAAATAAGATGTGGAATATTGCAATGAAAACGGCTATATACCACTGCTTGAACAAAAGAAGATTTGACCTGCTTCATATGTGTTCTAGTACTGTACTTAAGGAAGAGGTTTATCTGTAAGGGAAGAAGAAAGTCACAGATCAGAGTAATAGTAAAAGCATTTAGATAATGAGCTGACATTTAATCTGCAGAGAAGTTTGTTTTGTTAAAATGGCTCTGAACTGCTATTTTAACTAGTCTGTGGATCAACAAAATAATCACTGAAACATAACTCAACACAAATGCATTACCCTAGAAATCAATCAAGTCCCAATAAAGCAGTTTATTTTTTTCTCAGGATGGGTGACAGAAGAGAGATTTATTGTCTGAGAGCTGCAGACCACATGTTTGTTTGAAAACGCTGCAGAGTGATAGGTATTTTAAGTGTGAATGAAATGTGCAAACCATTTACTGCACAGTTCTACAGCAGAAAAATATTTACAGCACTGTGGTGACCACAAAGAAATTACAAAAACTAACGACCTGATGGATTTCATTTTTATTACTCAAGAAGTGCTATTGAGAACTTACTTTTGTGATAGAAAAGGGCATGCTTTACAGTGTTTGGATTACGATATTGTTATGATATTGGAAGGTAAGAGTTTGGAAACTAACATTGGAGTTAGATACCATATGGTGGGTTTTCTGAGTTTTAATGTAATTGTCAGTGTATAAGAAACCTGATCCACTGGGGGCGAGCTGTAAGCATGCTGTCGCTTCACAAAAACAAAGTCCGCTTCCTCAATACAGACCTGTGCAACAGTGACACCTGGTCTACATCAACAGAACAAAAGGACCCCAATTAATCTTGGAGCCACTTCAGTTATCATTAACCAAACACACAGCACACACAGCAAAAATGGAGCCATCTTCTGGCGCTCTGTAGAGGTGTATTAGGAAGAAAACCATCACAAAATTACTTGTTGACTATATCAGTGTCACATTTATTTTTAAAATGACAATCGCAAATCAGACAGCAGGATGCCCAAGGTAAAATTAGGACGTACAGAGCACTCGGCATACTGACTGGCAGAACATGCTAATCTATTTCTGCAACTGTACAAGGAAATTTTGAAGGATGTATGGAAATTATTTTCAGATGGTGCGTTTTTGTTTGCTTTTCAAACACAAAGTGGGCTCGACCTTTGGTGAGCAACTCCTGGCCCGCCCTGTTTGCTGAGCGCAGACAAAACAGACTCGTAAAGGCAGACAAATTAGCATATTTTTCCAATCTGAAAGTCCACAATGCCTTTCTAGGTTTTCTTGCCATGTGGCAATTTTAAACTGCAATTATACATCTTAAGCGGCTTTGAGCAAATAAATCGTCATGTCTGGAAGCAAAAGTATTGTTATTCACCGAGTCATACAGTTTAAAAAGTATATTCCCATTGGAATAAGAATGATCGATTATACCTGCTGTCTGGATTTGATAAATATTATTTCACTACACAATTAAAATCAAGGCATTTGTTTTTACATATGAAACTAGAACAAAAATAAAATAAAATTAATCACATGGTATTCCTCTACTGAGTTGTATAAAATATGTTTAATCAAATTATTCAATGTTCATCTTCAACCCTGAGCTATCAAGCTAAATACTGTTTACAAACATTTAATTTAGATGGTGTCTTCTTACTTGCTGTTCAACTGTTTTTGAGTCATCATTTCTTGCACAAGATGTAGAGATATGGCAATGACTTAGAATACAAGAACAGAGTTTGACAAAAAACTGTTTCTGGTCAACTGCTACTTATATTATAAATGAGATCAAATAAAACTACAGTTCTGTATTTGTACAGCTTAAGAATGTGGATATAATTTAGGCCAAGTTGATGTACGTATTATACCAGACATCAATATAAAATGTAAGCCTACTGTATGTCATTGATTCCTTATACCATGCACTCTACTAGAATGAAGTCCTAAAGTACATCAAGGCACAACTATACATGGTTACTCAACATTCCTAGCATATTCATAAACCACGTGAATCACATTAACCAGGGTATTGAGTTTCGTGGTATGAGTCTTCAAAGTTTTTTTAGCGATAGGTAATTGGGTCCATTGTATTATAATATACAGTGCCATGAAAAAGTATCCCGATTTCCTCTATTATTGCACATTTTTGACATTGAATGTTTTCAGGTATTCCACCAAAATCTAATATTAGATAAAGGGAACCTGAGTGAACAAC